GTTTAGGGTTTAGGGTCTCTATAACCCAGCGAGGAAAACTGTTCACCGGAAGTCGACCAAAATCTAGGTCCCGCATGTAGTCTCTTCCCCCATGAACAACCCCAACTGGCCCCAACCGCCGCTAAGTAAGAGCTATTTCCCATTGTTACACAAAGGTCTTCTATTTGTTTCTGGGGCTATTAGGGAAGCAGAGTAACCCCAAAATGGTCCAATGTTAGCCGAGTTTCCATGTCGTGTTAGATTGGATCTTCCATCTGCCCTAGACTCATACCTAAACTCATAACCCTGAACCCTGAGCTCGTCATACAGCTCTAGAGGGGATCAACACCATCTCGAGTAGCTCCTCGTGCCCTCCGTAGGAGGCGAGCATGAGGACAGTCCAATTGGAGCCATCTGGCATCTTGTAGTTTGGGTTAGACCCGTTCTCCAACCTGAGTGCAAGATTTTGATTTATGATTTAGGACCGAGGGTCTCGGGTTTAGGGCCCTTTACAATCAGAACCCGATAAGTGCTACATGATAGTTATAGGGTTCATGCTTTGGGGTCGGGATTACCATAACCCCCCTGATTTTGTTTAAGCTCTACCTGTAATGCCACTTGCCTACAGCTTGATAGTTTTACTGACCTCTCAACTTAGGAGCACCCAAAGGGGTTAATTGCTGCTTCGCTGTAGGTGATTGGTCTACGGGTAGCGTCCCCAAACATTGCTTCAAAAAAGCTTCACGCATTCAAGGTAATCCGCTCGCCCTAATTTCAAACACCCCCACCCCGTAACATCAAACATTCCACATATAACCTAGTATAGCTCACTGGGAGTGTTTAATATTAGGGGGGTGGGAGGGTTTTGATATTAAAGGCATGGGATTACTTTGGCCATAACCTGAAAACCCATGAAAGGATACACTCTCAAGTCCCCTATACTACCCCGATTGAGCGGGAACCTTGGGAGTAGTATGGAGAGGTGGGGAGTCCAACCCTAAACCCTCGTGGCATCTAAACCCTAAACTCGTCCAGCAGCATCTCATTGACTTCATCCAGATCACCCCGATCCACAGCTCCGCGGAAGGCCACAGCCTGCCACATCTTGGCTTCCTCCTGAGGAAATAGCCACGCGGTGTATGGTTCAGGGCTTAGTGGCAACAAAACAAGGGCAATGATTAAATTGATTGGGCGTCACCCGGCTTACTCCTGAGGAAGTTCCAGGGGCTCTCAAGACCCATCGCAACCGGTTTGTGACTGGGATGCTCTTCACAATCGCAACTCTGCATTCCGTAGATTGGGTTTAAGTGTAATAACACTGAGAACAGTTTGCAACCAAGTTATAGGGCGTATAATACGGGACAAGAGGAATTCATGACCTGGATCGGGTAGTGTAGGGGCACGTTGGGTTCGATTTTTGTCCTAATGGTGTACCCTGGGCCCCTACGGACAGATAGTACGAGGGTCTTTCCAATTAGGTTACCAGTATAGGCCCCAAAGTACTAGTCCTCATTACAGGGAACCTGCATTCAACTGAGGGGATCTCCATGAAGGGTTGCGGGCTTCCTCCTAGAAGCAGGTAAGGGCTCCGACGGTTTCAGTCACAGGCTTTTGGGCTCCCTTCTGAAGTAAAGATTTGTCATACTTGTAGGGCCTTTATTAGGCTCCCGGATCTAGGTAGCACTTGGGCATAGGGTCTGTGGCCTAGGGTGTCAGACCATAACTCTCCTCTGAGTCCCTCGGCTTTTATCGTATGCCTTCAAGAATACGTAGGGTAAACATCTGCTGTAAATGATTCCTACGCATCATGAAGAACAGCAGGAATCCCAAATCGAAACCCTTGTCATGGACAGGAAGCCATAGTCCCACCCCCCTACCCCCCAAAAAGAAAATTGTAATTCCTTATGTTTGACGGCACTGCTTTTGGGGAGCATGCATTATTGAATCCTTAGACTGTCCCTCTATTGGCCCCAAGACTCCTCGTCCACGGGTGCCATGGCTCGCAAGCGGCCACTGGGTGGTAAACAGAATCACAGATTGAGCCAGACTCAAGGGGGGCTTTCTCCCAACAGGGCTTTTGTTAGGGTTTAGGCTTTGGAGAAAGAACTCGTGGAGATAAATGGTTTGAATAGGGTTTTGGGGGAGGAGTGCGTAGTTACGCAAATATTGCAAGGGAATAACATTCGCAATTGTTCAGCCTTCCCTACATAAACGCCACAAGAAATCCGGTGTTCATTGCATTCTCCGTTTGGTTCTCCAACATTGGCAACTTTTTATATACGTAAATACATGTATATAACATGTAACTGTACATATAGATCATGGGTAGATAAAGCTCGGCGTTTCGGCAAGGTACTGGACTTCAGGTGGTGCAAGATTTCCNNNNACCCTAAACCCTACACCCAATAGCTCCTTTGAGAGATCAAGGCTAGGACTCCGGAGCAGCGATTTGTAAACTTTTCCGGTACAGGCCAGGCATGGCAAACCTCAAGAGCTTGAAGTCTAGAATGTGAACTTTTAAGCACAAGCCTGTGTAAGGGCAGTATAAGGAAGAATGGAACATGGAAACTACCAT